AAGGCCTAAAGAAAAGAGGAGACGGCAGGTGCCCTTTTTTTTCGACTGATAGATAATTGAAGACTACAGAGTCCTCTTTGTACCTGCAATAACCAAGAAGCCTGACAAGATTTGGGTGTCTAAGCCGACCAATTGTCGATATCTCAGCCAGGAATTCCTGCATTCCTTGACTCGAACCATGAGAAACCCGTTTAACAGCAATATTTGCATCGGAACCTGGAAGTGTTCCCTTAAAGACCTGACCGAACCCTCCTTTGCCTAGAAGTTGTTTGAAACCATTTGTGGCTTTAAAGAGTTCTTTGTAAGAAAACCTATGAGGTCCATTTTGAATCTCCCACTCCTCTAGAACCTCTTGAACCATTTGGTTTTTTCTATATAAGAAGAGACTAAAACCTGATGCAGCCATCGCAACTAAGAGAGCCAATGCCAAGCCAGTCACCCAAAGAATGCGATTTACTAGTGATTTTTCCTTGGGATATGGAGGAAACGTCGGTATCCCGATATCCAGGTCTGGAACAATCAGTATGGTATATCTATACCAAATCGACATGTAGTGCATTGCTCCAACCGACCCCGTAGAGGCTGTGAAGCCGACATACATTTTCTCCAAAAGATACGGTGACAGATCTTGGTTTAGCGAAAGAAGTGGTTGCTTGGGGTAATAAGCTTCCTCTGGCGATGATAATGTGACACTAAGCTCTTTCTTCTTCTGGTCATACAAAATCGTGACTCGGAGTAGATTTCCACTGATCAAAGAAAGATTTCTGAATTGACCCTCTTGATCATAATAACCAGCAGGAGCAGATACAATAGACCTCATCCCATTTATGTTGATACCAACATGGTTATCGTTAATGTCGCCAAATTCATCATCTTTATTTATATCGAGCTCCACAGCGATGACATGATTCGAGTTGTTCCCGTTGTTTACTTCATTGAAGATTCCGAGGTACTGATCTGCGGATGCACCTGGAATGCCTCTTGTAGGAGAAATCACGAAGGCCATACCGTGAGAGCCTTTGTGCTTATGCTCAGGGACGATAGCAAAAAAGAAGGTGAAAGAGAAAGAAGTCATTGCACCTGTGAGGAAATTCTTGAAAGGGAATGGCTTGTCGTCGAATGCTTGACCATATGTGTGCTTCGTGGTGTTCGTCAACGTCCTGAAACCTTTGAAAACTCCAGCCGATCCTTCCCAAATCAGTTTCCTATGGGAGTTATCAGTACAACAGAACAAAGCAAGAATCAAGAAAATGACTCGTGAGATGATTACACGAGACATGATCTTTGACCGATTAGTTGAGCAACTAGGAGCTTAGTTTCTGTTGTCGTTTATATCCTGAAGAGCATGATGAAAGTCAACTAAAGCACAGAAAGGCGCATGAAGTAGTCAAGACCTACAAGGACTAAAATCAGAAAGATTGCTACAAGTTGCAGAGTCAATGCTTCATAATCAATTAATTAACCAGTTTGTATATTTAAGAGATTATACTAATAATGACTGTAGACACTAAAAAACGTATGAACTAGTCAAGGCCTGCAAAGACTAGTAACAGAGAGCTACATGTTGCAGGGTCAATTACTGAAATCAATTAATTAACTAGTTAATGGAGTCCCAAACCTTCATGGACCATGGGAGAACCAACGAGCTAGTCAGGCAAATTTAGTTTTGTTATGTCTAATATGTTTTAAGGAAAATATATTATTTATCAAAACCTCTGAGAGATCGTGCTTATGTTACAAACCTGGCAATATGGAGCATCATGTCCATTTGTTTGTCCAGGTACTACAAATATAGAAATTCTCAATGTTACACCAGACTTAGGTAGATTATAAACCACATGATACATTCAATACAATGAACAACAGAACATATTTTTGCACGAGCGACCTTGACATCAGCTTTCAGCGTCCGTGGGAAGTGAAAGGTTCCGTAAATGTCAAGGTACCGATGGACTCCTGTGATGGAATACTATCAGATGTCTCAGACCACATTCTAACCCTCTCGGCCTTGACAATATCCAGCAAATTACTCGGAAGCTTCGAATCACCGTTTAAGATCCGGACCACTTTAGACATGTCAGGCCTAACTGTTGCAACCTGGTGCGAACATAATACTCCCAGTTTCAGAACAATCTCGAGCTGTTCTCTATTGTGTTCTTGGTGGAGTCTTTCATTGGCTGCCTTAAGGATATCTCCGTTTTCCCAGCATTCTAATGTCCATTCTGCAAGGACGACCTCGTTGGTGGCTGCTCGTGGCTCTATCAGCCTTCTACCGCAAGAGACTTCCAGTATAAACAGCCGAAAGGCGTAGACGTCTGTCCCTGTGGTTGCTCTTCCACTTCTTATGAGCTCGGGGGCAATGTACCCAAATGTTCCAGCTACTCTCGATGTTTGAGGATCATAACCCTGATAGTACAACTTGGCTAGCCCGAAATCCCCGAGTCTCGCATTCATCTGATGGTCAATCAAGACATTTGCAGGCTTGATATCTCGATGAATTACGACTTGTACCCACTCGTGATGCAGATAACAGAGTCCAGAGGCTACATCTTTGATGATCTTGAAACGTTGTCCCAAGTGAGTTGCTCTTTATTTGCTCTGTACTTGTCAAGACTTCCATTGGGCATAAAGTCATAAACCAAGTAAAGCTCCTCCTTGTACCTACAGTAACCCTGAAGCCTGACTAGGTTTGGGTGTCTAAGCCGACAAATTGTCGATATCTCTGCTAAGAATTCCTGCATTCCTTGTCTTGAATCATGAGAGATCCGTTTAACAGCAATTTCTGCGTCTGAACCTGGAAGTGTACCCTTAAAAACCTGACCGAACCCTCCTTTGCCCACAAGTTGTTTGAAACCCTTTGTGGCTTTAAAGAGTTCTTTGTAAGCAAACCTATGAGGCCCACATTGGATCTCCCATTCCTCTAGAACCTCCTTAACCTTTTTATGTCTTCTATAGAAGAAGAGACTTAAAGCTGATGCAGCAACCGCAACAAAGAGGACCAATGTCAAGCAAGTCACCAAGACAGTCCGTCTTACCTGAGACTTTGGCTTGGGATATGGAGGAAACGTCGGTATAGGGAAATCCAGATCTGGATCCACAGCGATATCATACACATGTAACGTCCATATGTAATGTAATGCTCCAACCGAACCTGTGGAGGCAGTGTAGCCGAGATACATTTTCTCCAACAAATACGGTGACAGATCTTGGTTCAGTAATAGAAGTGGCTGATTCGGGTAATAAGCCTCCTCTGGTGATGATAAGGTGACGCTAAGCTGTTTTTTTCCTGGCTATACAAAATCGTGACTCGGAGTAGATTTCCACTGATTAGAGAAAGGCTTTTGAACTGACCCTTTTGATCAAAATACCCGGCAGGAGCAGATATGTTAGATCTCATTCCATTAATGTTAATACCAACGTGGTTATCATTAATGTCACCAAATTCATCATCTTTATGTATATCGAGCTCCACAGCAATGACATGATTCGAGCTTTTTCCATTGTCTGTATCGTTGAATATTCCGAGGTAC